GGGCGGGGGCGGGGGCGGGGAGGGGGAGAGGGTGGTGGGGGGAGAGTGGGGGGCGGTGAGGACGCCCGGGCGGAGATGGAGAGGCGGGGGGAGGGCGGCGGAGCAGACGGTGTGGGAGAGGAGCGGAGAGTCGCACACCTTTGTGTCCGTCTCGTCGGCCTCGCTCTTCGAGTGGGCCGCGGCGGTCTTGAGGCTCGTCTCGCTGCTCGTGGAGCCCGAGGCCTTGATCGGATCCTCGGAGACGCAGAGCTCGGTGAGCGGCGGCGGCGGCTCCGCGCACCACACAGGGGCGGCGCCGCCGCCGCACGTGACACCGACGGAGTTGGCGGTGGAGTCGGCGAGCGAGACGTCGCCAACGATGGCCGCGCCGGTGGTCTCGCCAAAGGAGGCGAGCTCGGCGTCGGCCGCGGCGCCGATGGGCTTTAGGGTGGTCGGGGCGGCGGCGCGTGAGTCGGCGCCGCTGAACTTGGAGAGATAGGCCGAGATGGAGAAGGTTGGATGGAAGGTGGCGACGTCCGGACGGGCACCGAACAGCGCCCCCCCACCCCCGAGGACGTCTTGGTGGAGCAGGAGCTCCGCGGCCTTGTCGGGTTTGCGCGAGGCAGACGCCGCGAGGGCGAGCGTCGGCGCGTCGGTCTCGAGCTTGATGCTGAAGTCGGTGCGGTTGCGCGTGTCGGTGAGTGCACCCCCGCGCCGCGGACGGGGGCGAGAGGCGGCGGTTGAGGGCGTCGCGAGAAGAGCGAAGGTGAGCATGACGGCGTGCAGCAGATGTACGCGGAGACAGATGCACGAAATTGAGATCGCAGAAAAAAAAGTATTATCCTGCCGGTGTCAGTAAGAGGCCCGCGCTTGCCCCCGTGCCGCCGGGTGCAACCTGTCCTATACGAGAGAGGAATCCCTGGGACCCTGTCGTGAGGGTGAACCCTGCCCAGCCCCCCTCCGTGTCGCGATGCGCTCCCCGCTCCCGTTCCCCTGTGTCCCTGATCGTCCTTACAAGATCCTGCTCGTGCAGGTGGGGACCCTGTCCTTCTCCCACCCCTCGTTTGGCGTGTACGTTGTATTTATTTATTTATTTATATCCTGTCGGTGTGGGGGCGCGGAGGGCTTGTTGGCGAGCCAAAATGGTGTTTTCCGAGGCGCTGCGCTAGGCTCAGAGCGAGTTCGCGCTGCGCTAGGCTCAGACGGCGAGTTCGCGCTGCGCTAGGCCCAGACGGCGAGGTAAGGTAAGGTAAGGTAAACTTCTCCACACACACGAGGTGGTGGGGCAAGGGGGGGCAACCCTCGCGTCTCCACGTCTAACGACAGGAGCCCCACGGCATTTAAAGTGCAAGGCCCGGTGCGCGTGGGTGGCGACGTTCGCGCTGCGCTAGGCTCACAGATGCGAGTGCGCTGCGATAGAAGAAAAAAACAGGGTCGAAACGACAACCGAAGGGAGGACTGTGTAGTGTAATCATGTGTCAAGAGGCTCAGAGCGAGTGCTGCCATGCTGCTGCTGCTGCTGCTGCTGCTGCTGCTGCGCTGCTGCTGCTGCTGGCCTGCTGCTGCTGCGTGGCGAGCGCCGTCGCCGAGGCGGGCCTCGGCGGAGAGCGCGACGATGCGGCCTTTTCCGCGACCCGCACAAAGAAGAGGCGCCCTCCGTCCGCCTCGACCTGCCACCGGCTCGCGTCGACCGACCCGGCCGCGGCGTGCCACAGACGTCCCCTACCGCCGCGCGCGCGCCTGCGGTGCGCGCCAGGGCGCCAGCCGCCACGCTGCAGGTGCAGCGCTCGGCGCTGCCGGCCCGCCGCGCGCCACCCGGTTGGAGGGCATGTGTTTGAGTATTTTACAACAAGAAAACACGCGCTCTCTCGCCGCACCGTCTCTCGGGTCTCTCCACTCTCGCGCGCTTGCTGGGTTGCTCTCACCTCTGGAGTGTGGAGACCTCTCTCTCGCCGCACCGTGCGGCTCCCGCACACACGCCACGGCTCACGCTCTCCAGTGATAACAGTGGCAGCGGCGCAGCGCGCGCGCGGCGCGCGCGACGGAGGGGCGGAGCAGCGACCGCTGGCGCGGTGTCGCTGCTCCGTCTGTCAGCCAGAGACGCGCGCTCTGCCGCTCCACGCCCGGCTGCTCCCTTGCCCCGTCACCCGCCGCGCCCTCGCCCGGCCGCCTCACCGCGCACGGAGCGCTCGGCTGCTCGCCGCCGCCGCCGCGCGTCCCGCGCCGCCACGCTTGCCCCCACCTTGCCTGACGCGCGAGGAGAGGTAGGAGGTGCTTGCCGCGGCCGGCGAGCACTCCCGCGCCTGCGGAGGGGCAAGGCCTGAGGGCGGGCGGGCGGGCGGGCGGGCGCGGGTGGATAAACGCTGCGCCGCCCCCGCACAAGCGACACTGGCCGCGGCTCGCCGCCACGCGCCGGCTCGGAAGAGGGGCTGTCGGCGGCGAAGCAGAGCGGCACGCCTCGGCGCTCGAGCCGCCGACAACCCCCCACCTCGACGTGACGGCCGTTCCCGGGGCCGGCCGGTGCGCGCCCGACCCACGCCCCCTCTCGCACCCCCCCGACCCCCCTGCGCGGCGCACCCGTCCGCTGTGCGCCGGCTCGAGCGCCTATTGCCAAATCGCGACGTTTGAGCGCAGCGCAGGCATCAGGAGCCGGCGGAATCTTGCCGGAATGTGGCCGTGCTCTGGGGAGGGGCTTCTCCTGCGGAGTCGTGCGTGCGCAGGGCTCCTCTTTGCTTTCTTACTATCATCTCGTTCGGCTAGTTCCATTTCACTCTGACACGCTAATCTTGAAAACGTCCAACGGAGCTCCGTGTTGCTCCCAGCGCCCTCCCCCGCGCTTCCTGCGGCCCTAGCCGATGATACTAGCATGGGAGGTCATCTGGCTACCGCGAGAGCGACCCAACTCGTCGACATCGTCCGACGATGGTGCCTCAAAGTCAGCCTTCGGAGGCTATCGTCGCGTCGAGCCGGCGGTGGCCGCGACATGTGGTTCCACCACCCCTCGTAGGCTTTGCCTCTGACCGCCACCGTTCCCAGGCTGCCTAATGGGATGGAAAGGAAGGCTGGGCGAGCGTATAGAAGCGTGCTCGACCTCGTCGTGGCAGCCTGCACGGCAGCGCTGGCAGGCGCGATGAGCGTCGTGCCACCTGACCCAAGACGGGTCGCAGGCGTCGTACCGAGCGCGTCGAGACCGTGTCCTGATGTGATCTGCACGGGTGAATCACGTCGGCGTCAAAAGGAGCGACGTGTGACCTGTCAGAGCTTGATCTCCAATCTCAGCGGCGTCGAGTCGTCTCCGGCGCGCAACAAATGTACCTCCCCAGGACGCGCAGAGGCAGCTGCGATTCGGGCTGGTGGCCGGAAGGGTCACACGTAGACTGCTAAGAGGGAGAGGAGGAGGCAGAGTCCCGAGGGTGGGCGACGGATAGCGCACCACACACCTCTCCTTAAAATCCCTGTGTGGTGGCGGCGTGCCGTCCTCCCATCCCTCCCTTGGGTTGTCTGTTTTCTTTCTTTCTTTCTTAGCAGACTGGCACGAACTAGCACCACAAAAGGCACAGCAAAAAGAGAAAGGGCTCGTCCACGACAGGGCCCGTCCGCAGAGCTTGGCGGCGCGGGCACCAGAGAAAGCGCGGCGAGCGGCCCTGCCAAGAAAAAGAATTCACAGCACGCTGCTCTCGTCAATGAGCGACGGCCGACCCTATCCCTGGCTGAGCCAGCAGTGGGAGGGCAGCTGGACTGAGGCGCGCTACCTCATCTACCAGCCTTTTGGCGGCCTGTGCAACCAGCTGGCGTGCCTCGAGTGTGCGGTGGCACTCGCCCGCGCGACTGGCCGCACGCTCGTGCTGCCTCGCTGGCGCGCCCAGTACGGCCAGCCGTGGCTCTCGGAGGGCTCCGACTACTTTGACCTCTCGCCGCTCTCCCGCATCGTGCGCTGCGCCACCCT